TTTCCCACCCTGCCCGCACAGTGAATAGATAGAGGGTGGACAACAGGTTGGGAGGGCACACAATCAGGCAGATAACCCGAATCAATCAAAGAGATATTCCATACCTTATAACGTCATGCTCAGCAATAAAAGGGAAAAGAGGAGGTTTAGGGAAGTCAGCCATCTTTTGCTCGGGAACTGGATGGGTATTGGTCCACCCATGGGAGGTGGTGAGCGAAGGCCTTCACATCACTTGTCTTGTTTCTCTCTTCTTCCACTTCTCCTTTGCTTACTAAACAATTTTATCTTCACTCACAAGTTTTCTTGCTTTTACTCTTCCTTTGCTCTTCCCCTGTCCCACTGGGGATGGGGGAGAAAGCGAGTGAGCAGCTGTGAAGTGCCTAACTGCCTACTGGGGTTAACTCACAACACAGACCAGTGTCAACTATCTGTGGATTTTTAGTGAAGATTACAGTGGTGTTTTTCTTTTCCCCTACTCTATTCCCCTACACAAAATAAATGAGCTCTTCTCACAACAATTACCTGCATTGTCAAAAAAGAGACGGAATCACTCCACACCTCTGATGCAACAGTCTGCTCCAATTGTAGAAGATTATTCACACTTTCACTTCACTGTTGTACTTATGCTTACTTTCAATAAACTATCTGTAGACAAGACATTCCCTTCCAAACACAGAGCCTTTTCCCACCTTCTACCGCAGAGAGAATGAATCTTTCAAAAGAAAATAAAAGTTATCCTCCAAAATACCAGAGATTAAAACCATCTGACGGAGGAAAACTCTAATAAATGAACTATCACAGTTTCTGTACGGACTATCAGGGGCTCCTTTACAGCTGCAGTATGTCTTCCCAGATGATCTGAACATTCAGTGCTTCACCGCACTGGACTCCCCTTTGCATTCACTCCTCCTCTGTATTCTTATCAAAGGCTGCAAACTCAAGAATCCCAGGATCAATTAAAACCCTCCCAAGCACAAAACTGAACTGGCCTTTCTTGATTCCTGCTCAGCTCACTTCTTCCCTCCAACATTAAATGCCTCCAATAAATGCAGGCTGAATACTTTAGGATCGTTTAGTAAGTATCCCCCAAAAGAGGACACTGCCTGCAGATCTGCTCACACTTATAACCTTGTGCCTGTAGTCCCCACACCTTGTTCACTGATGTATTACACCAAGCCCACAGGCTTAACATGTATTCTTAGCGAGAATTAAGATCAAAAAGCATGCAATCACATGATATAGATGGGAATTACAAGGCAAAATACCCACAAATCTGTTTCACAAACCTTCCTCAGTACCATGAAGAAATTTCAGTGTTTTAATCATTCATAAAGGATACCATTCCCCTGAAGCTCTAGCAAACTAAGCTTGTGTGTTACACGGGACTTCCAATTGTTCAGATCAACCCCTCACGCACACAAGCTGGTTGTCACATTGCAACACATCACAGGACCACAGGACCACAGGACCACAGGACCACAGGACCACAGGACCACAGGACCACAGGACCACAGGACCACAGGACCACAGGACCACAGGACCACAGGACCACAGGACCACAGGACCACAGGACCACAGGACCACAGGACCACAGGACTTGGAAGGGACCTCTGGAGAACCCCTAGCCCAACCCTCCTGCCAAAGCAGGTTCACCTACAGCAGGTTGCACAGAACCATGTCCAAACAAGTTTTGATTATCTCCACAGAAGGAGACTCCACAACCTCCCCTGGGCAGCCTGTTCCAGTGCTCTGTCACCCTCAATGTGAAGAAGTTTTTCCTCATGTTGAGGTGGAACTTTCTGTGCTCCAGTTTGTGCCCGTTGCCCCTTGTCCTATCACTGGGTACCAGTGAAAAGAGCCTGCCCCATCTGCTTGACACCCACCCCTTAGATATTTATTAACGTTGATAAGGTCCCCTCTCAGCCTTCTGTTCTCCAAGCTAAAGAGCCGCAAGTCTCTCAGCCTTTCCTCACAAGAGAGATGCTACAGTTCCCTCATTATCTTCGTAGCCCTCCGCTGGACCCTCTCGAGTAGCTCCCTGTCCCTCTTAAACTGGGGAGCCCAAAACTGGACACAGCACTCCAGATGTGGCCTCACCAGGGCAGAGTAAAGGGGGAGGATAACCTGCCTCTACCTGCTGGCCACACTCTTCTTAATGCACCCCAGGACACCACTGGCCTTCTTGGCCACAAGGGCACATTGCTGGCTCATGGTCAACTCGCTGTCCACCAGGACTCCCAGGTCCTTCTCCACAGAGCTGCTCCCCAGCAGGTCGACCCCCAGCCTGCACTAGTGTATGGGGTTATTCCTCCCCAAGCGCAGGACCCTACACTTGCCCTTATTGAACCTTGTTAGATTTCTCTCTGCCCAGCTCTCCAGCCTGTCCTGAATGGCAGCACAGCCTTCTGGCATGTCAGCCGTTATTGCTATACCTCATCTTTGACTGAGAAAAATGAGTGCATCCTTGTCTACCTCACTATTTTCACATTCAGAGAGTACATCCAATGACCCTTTGAATATACCCAATGGCATCCTCTGACATTACGCAGCAAGCACAATTACAGACCATGTCTCAGACAAACGAGTCCAGGGACACCTCCAAAACAGACTCTATTCATTCCTGATAGTCTCCAGCCAGCAGTCAGGGAGAAATTCCAGTTTTCACAAACAATTACAGCTTTTTTTTTTTTTTCCTTGAGACAACTACATTGCAAAAGAAGAAAATTCCCACTAAATTACAAAGTTTTCTGGAACCTACTTAACACTGTAAACTTGGAGTTATTACTTACAGATACCACATATACAGACTGATAATTTTCCTACTCTCTACACTCTTATATGTCATTTTGTCTGGCAGGTTTTTTTTAGCACAGCTTCCATTTTTATAACAAAGCTATCTACTGAGTAGAACTAATGCCAGCTTCTCACAGCTTAGTAGTCATGGTCACATCAGTTCTGTATTTCTCAGACTCTCAAACACAGTGCTACTTCAAAAGCACGAACTGAAGTGTTTAAGCAATAACCAGTTTCTTAGTCCAAAGTAAGCTTATCCTTTGAAATCCTAAGAAAAAGCAGCACAATTTGTGATGCAGCAGTGGTTCAACAGTCAGATACATCAACGGCTATTAACTGCTTCTCTAAAGACAAATATTTTCCCACCATACCTTAGATGTTAGATCAGATCGCTCTTGAAGCTTGTATGTCTTGGAGAACAGAAGTCTGATAATCCACAGAATTAGAATTCCTTCCAAAATGAGATGGTAAGCAGGAGCCTGAAAATAAAAGCACAAAAATAAGTCTACACAGAATTCTATTTGAATCAGTGTGACACTGTGCAACATTTTAATCTCCTCTAGTACACTTACAGAAGAAAAAAAAAGCTGATCCTCAGCTGATACATATTTCTAAATCAGTAAAATTTATAATTATATGAAAGTGGCTTGCTTTGCAACCACTACTTGTAGCTGTGCTTTGGTTTGAGTGGATTTATTCTGTTATTAATAAACCAGGAACACTCTAAATTGGTAAGAGGTTTCAGTTCCACACATGCAAATAAACAGAATATTGAGAGTAAAGGCAGATAAGCCATACAGGTTGCACCAGTATATGTGAAGGCAGAAAGCTTTCACAACAAGCAGAAGTATCCTGAGAGCTTGAAGGTCTGTGTCATCTATATACACCCACTTCAACCCTACAGTCTTATAACTTATAGTCCACCAGCAGCAACAGCTACTGTTATTTACAAAGAAACCTAATCCTGTCCTCATTTCTGTTAGTTTCACAGGCACTTTGAGCAGGTATAACCCAACACAGTCACCAGAAGTAGTTTTGCCCCCAAGTCATTTACTGTCTGGTGTAGATATAAAATTATTCAGCAAACCAGAACAGGTTGATTCAAGTTGAAGTTAGTTTCTTCATGAAAGTCAGTTTCCTCTGGCAGCACACCTGGTTTAAAGTAGATGTGAAGTCATGACATCAGCATTTGACACCTAGTTTTAATGATGGGTTTAATTATTCCATTTCAGAAAGGCTGCTATCTGCACTGTGGATGCCTACTGTTTTTAAAAAGACTCAGAATGCACACACACCAGTGCACTCCCTCTTCAACTCAGTGGAAGAGCTCCCACACATCAGCATTTTCTGGTGGGATCTGACCTGACGACAAAGGAAGTGGGATGTACCACACATCAAGAAACTAAATGAAATTGAACACAAATTTTTAAAATCAGTAAGGAGTCCTATGGCATATGAAACTGCAAATAACAACTTTATCATTTGCAGAGTACTTTTCAGTTCACCAAATCTATTAAGAAATCATACGTACACTAGGACGTCTAAAGAACACATAGTATGGCAGCAGTAGAGGTCCACACAAACTACTTCCTTGTGTTTTTCAGTGCCTACAAATATCCTGAATTCAGTGTACTAGACTGTGCTACCAGCTCCAGTAGTTAAGCACTCCTATATTTGTACTGCAAATCGTAGTATAAATTATGAAAAAGTTACCAACCTTTGCCAAAGGAAGGGACAGAAAGAGGCTGTTGATACAAGAACACCGCCTATCATCAGGATACCCTTTTTAATACAATGAAACAAAGCCTGGATACAAACATGCCATGCTGATCCCTTCCAGGAGAGAACTCAAGCATACACATTTAGAAGTTGTTTCTTCCTTTGTGAGTAACACTCATAAGTTACAAACCTTGATCTTACACTCAAAGGACACTGAATCTTATTTCAAGGACGCTTATATCTTATTAAGGTTTAACGCTCTGGTAGATACCTTAAATGTAGCTTTATACTTCTAAACAGAGAAAAACGTAAGTGCGTGCATCTATTTTTTCAACATACAAATACGGTGCACAAGCACGTACTCGCCATTTTGCGAACGACTTTCACTGATGCACAGCCCGCTCCCGCTTCGGCGCAGGTGAGACACAGCACCACCCTGCAGCCACCACCCTCCCGCC